AAATACGCCAACGCGAACACCGAAGTGAGCCCATATTGGGTAGTGTTTACAAAACCACGTTGCACGTATGCCGGTTATGAGACGCCTATTACGTCACGTATATTTCAAACCCAGCTGCGATACATACATCCTTGAATTCCTCATACAAATGGTCAAATGACAAATGGTCTTTAAAATTTGTCACAAATACAAGCTTTAAGTATGTTGATGAAATCAAGCGAAATATATAAAGTCAAAATAACGAACGCTGTGTTCGCTCAGTTTCCTTAAAGCTGCAAAATACAGAAAATCTTTGCACAGTACCTTTGTCGGTGTACGATAAAAAGCGGAGAAATTTTCAACACAGAACAAACTCTCGGACAACACTTACCAGTGTCTTTTCTTCAAAACGGTTTAATATTTGCAGTTAAATTTACACCATCAGATAGGAATTTTAATATTCTACATCTTTGCGTATTTTATAGCGGGGTAGATCCAGTGCCGCGCGAACGCAATTCTCGCACAACCTTCTCTTTACAGATCTTAAGGAAATGTGTGTCAGAAGCATATCTCGGCGTCTCGGCGTCCGGGTTAACGTCGGGTTCAGATTATTGCACTTGTATAACGAAATGCACGTGCGTGTGTGTATACCTCCGGACTAATACTGGTTTAATAGTTCTCGCTCACTTAGACACATGCCACAGTTTAACATAGATACCCAACTCAAACACAGTGTACTGACTCAGTTCTTGCTCTATCTCCTTAATTCCGAGCGCAAGGCAGGGTGAAAAACGTACCATCTTTAACGTCTTTTGGTATAACGCTGTCGAAGATCGAACAACCGACCTTCCGCTGTCCGCGCAGACGTTGTGTCCACGACACACGGGTGCGGCCCCCCTCACTGAACTCAATCACACACTCGCTCTCACTAACTCGTGCACGCACCCGCGCTGTATTAACCTCGACAATGAATTAACAGCCGGGGTATCGATCAGGATAATGGCATACTCCTGCTTATTCAACAATGGTTCCGTGACATCCAGTTTTACTGAAACCTCTTTAACCAATAAATCCTACAGCAGTGCTTTATAGGAGAAGCTCTATATTATTCTTGACTTTACTTTACGGAAAGTGAAGATCCGGATCAGAATAGTCCTTCAACAACCCATGCTTGTCGCAAGACACGACTATGCTTGTCGTAAATGACGACTATGGTTGTCGTAAATGACGACTATGGTTGTCGGAATACAGGACTATGCTTGTCGTAAGAGATGACTATGCTTGTCGTAAGAGATGACTATGCTTGTCGTAAGAGATGACTATGCTTGTCGCAATACGCGACTATGCTTGTCGTAAGAGATGACTATGCTTGTCGCAATACGCGACTATGCTTGTCGTAAGAGACGACTATGGTTATCGGAAGACGGGACAATGCTTGTCGTTAGAGACGACTAATCATAACGGGATCGGGGATAACAGGATAACTCGCTGATGCATGTCATCGTATCCAACTTACCTGAATCGATGCTAATAATGTCAATCACTGGATTGTCTGGTCCAGACACGATTATTTACAGACCGCCGTCATATAGCTGGAATATTTCTGAGTGCGGCGTTCAACAACAATCAACAAAGACAAGACTTTATGAAGAAACTTCTCTAAACCGGACAATTGATGATCCGGGCGATTTCACTTCATTAAAGGGGTTTCACTGTACGCATCAGTCAAATAGCCTGCTGTGTTAAAACAACCCTGTTTATAAGTGTTGAAAATAAGTGATGACTGTTGGTAGGCATGGGGACATTTTCAAATTTGGCGCTCGTGTGAGTGAGTGAGTTTGGTTTTACGCCGTTTTTAAACAGTATTCTAGTTATATCACGGCATGTCAGCTTAATGTGGGAGGAAAGCCCGAAGTGATGCAGGTATCAGACGTTTACCACTTCGGTGAAACCCACGAGCACGGGTATGGTGCTGACAGACCTAGAAACATAATCGGGGCGAACCGGGATTCGAACCCACAATCATAGGTTTCTGTCGTGCCCAAGGGACGCAACCCTGCACAGCGAATTGCGGCGCCTTAGACGACTGGGCCACCCGTGCCCCCGGGTGTGTGACAAAAATTATGTCTGTCGCAATTCCACATCATCCCGTATTTTTCAGGTGAACAATTGACTTGCCTTTGCATGTATCTGTGACGGTGCCTCCGATGAGGCAGGACACGCTCACCTTTTCGCGAACACCTGGTAGCATCACTATTTGACGCCGATTCATCAGCAAACGTTTATGATGTAGTCGGAATCGTACAATGGACTCTGCTTATAGTAGATATTTCTTATGAGTATGACAGACATACAGATTACTTTATTGGCACAAGCCACGAATGGCCTCAGGCCAGTATTTCGTTTGATGTTTCGGGTTCAAGATGGAAAGAATGTACATTTACTGAAATGAATGTTTCTAACATATACCTAGTACGAAAGGCTTCATTCACAAATTTCCCTGACAACCTAATAGTTTTCCGTAACTCAATAAATTCATACACACATGAGTGTTTATAATAACATTAGGTATGTAATGCTTCCTCATGTCTCTATATAGGGGGCGGTCGGGTAGCCTAGTGGTTAAAGCGTTCGCTCGTCACGCCGAAGACCCGGGTTCGATTCCCGACATGGGTACAATGTGTGAAGCCCATTTCTGGTGTCCCCCGCCGTGATATTGCTGGAATATTGATCAAAGCGGCGTAAAACCAAACTCAGTCACTCACTCATGTCTATATATGCTGGGCACATCAAAACAAGCTGAACCTATCTTCAATCTTTTACCATTTCCTACATATTCTCTGAGTGCGTGGTACATGGATACCCCCAAGGCGACTAGTTTCTATAAATAAAATGTGACTGACATTCAAAGTTTTAAAAAAGCCGTCCAATGATTACCATTGCTTGTCACGTTTAAATAACCCTCCAATTCAAATCTTAGCTTATATTCCCTATATAAATACAGATTATGGTTAGGTTGTGTTGCTTTATTAGAATGTTGAGTGTATGTGAGGGGGCACGGGTGGCCCAGTCGTCTAAGGCGCCGCGATTCGCTGTGCAGAGTTGCGTCCCTTTGGCACGCCAGAAACCTATGATTGTGGGTTCGAATCCTGGTTCGCCCAGATTATGTTTCTAGGTTTGTTAGCACCATACCCGTGCTCGTGGTTTCACCGAAGTGGTAAACGTCTAAGACCTACATCACTTCGGGTTTTCCTCCCACATTAAGCTGAAACGCCGTGTATACTGGAATGCAGTTAAAAGTGGCGCTAAACCAACTCACTCCGTCATTAGTGTATGTATGAACAGAATGGTGAGTCTGGAATGTTGATACACCATCTGCACTGATCCTATTCCAGCATTACGGATGACTTCACCCATTAAAATACCTCACCATTGCAATACGAGTAACGACTATCGCATTAGCGATCGACTCTAGAGTTACTGTAGATTGGCAATGGCAATGTTAATGTAAATGTATCGTGTTTGTCTTAAACGTATTTGGGACCTATGTACATAAATATTATTTTGAAAGTATTCAACAACCTAGATACCACAAGGCAAACATAGTTATTTGAACAAAGTACATTAAGGACTATCTTTGACATTATCACACCCAAACTGATATATACAAATAACTGCGGTGTTCATGTACACAATATGTATTTTCAATGACAGTATACCAGGTGAACGCTACAACCAATTGATTCTTTGTTCTTTGGACCTTTTGAGAAAGCGTAGGAATTCGCCGAAGAACATTTTTTGGATCTTAAGACACAAATCGTTCATTCGTTAATTAAGTGCACGGGTCAGTCGTCAAGGACGCCGGAATTCGCCATATACAGGGTTTAATGTCAAAAGTTTGCAGAATACTATAAATGTGGGTTCGAATCCAAAATACGTAATGAATATGATCCTTGGTTTGAGAGCACTATGCCCGATTCCCGACATGGGTACAATATGTGAAGCCCATTTCTGGTGTCCCCCGCCGTGATATTGCTGGAATATTGCTAAAAGCGGCGTAAAACCATACTCACTCACTCACTCTGGTGTCCCCCGCCGTGATATTGCTGGAATTTTGCTAAAAGCGGCGTAAAACCGTACTCACTCACTCACACTTTCCTTCCCTTTGTACTTTCCTTCACAGCCACCAATAGCTGCAATACTCTCTCCAAGTGACAAGAAATGCAAAGTAAACTTAATCCGAAGAGGCATATAACACCTCAGCTTTACTCATATACCTCTCAAAATATAGAATAAAATTAACTCCAAACAATATAGAATTGACAGGATCAAGAACCTACATATACAAACGAGTCTTTTAACCAAATGTATTCTTTTTGACGTCATTTATGTCACACATTTATTACTTGACAATTTACTTAGTACATTCTAGATGACAAACGTTAGGTATTTCAGCATAAGTGTTTCCAAGCAGGCCTGTCAACTGCTCAGTCAAGGAAAGCCCATTGTGTCTGGATTCTCCAAAGGAATAATTATGTATTCAGCAGCTTCATCACAGTGTCTTTAAGTATCTACAAATAATCATATACGATCCGCTCCACAAAGTAAAAGTCTTAAATTTCGCATGAGAGAGGGGTTTATGTTGCGGTAATGTCACCTTCACTACTGATAGAAAGATTTTACATTTTCCGGCTGATAGATTAGACAAATAGTATGCAATTCTAGTATCGGGGCTGCTATCAGAGCAATCACACCGTCCTACAAAAGCGCAAAGAAACGTTTGTCACCCTAATTAATTACTTACTCATCAAATTTTAATCCCTCCTATTTCACGGTTCGCAAGTCGACAACCTTCCTGTCGTCTGGTCGATCAATAATACTGTATTCTCTGCGGAATACATGTCACGTGGCTTTCAATATGAAATCGCTCACTCTCATTGGCTGATGAAATTGAAACCACTTTGTTAATGAGTTGTTATAACCCCCAGAGGAGGTGCCGTTAGCTGACATTATATTATGCCTTGTCAGTTTTAGTGTTTGCAGCTTCCAATCTGTTTCGACTGACGACTTAGATATTGCGGAGCGACAGATGGACTTTCGTTGCCGTGACAATATCGTCAGTGAAACAGTCCTCTTACCTGGCGAAGGGGCAGACACGGACCCAAGTAAGATTTTTGCACGTACTTGCTTTATTCAAATTTCAAGTAATCTCACACACGTATACTCTATCACCACAATGATAACCTATTGATGAATATTTTCATTTAAATTAATAGGTATTATGAGATCGACGGTTAGAACCGCAGTTGTAACTTATAGAAATTTACAAACCCTTAACCTATTCATAATTTCATTATTGGTGCCGTAGATGTTTACTTTTTAATCACATTCATAACCTATAATTATTATTTTGGTATTAAGATTAATAAATTTAAATTCTGAATGGTTACATATGACACTTAGAATACATCGGTGTGCCAAGATCCACCTTTCTTAACCAAATATACCCTTAAAGTGTGAATATAATTGGTAACAATATCCTCTCTTTAGAATTATCTTTTTTATGCTAATGGTTTCTTATGATGTGTTTTTTTACACAGACTTAGTTTCACAGCTGGGTTCCATATGGTTAATGTCAATATTGGCATTTTAAAGAACTAATATGTTCCTATAAACATATTAGATATCAGTGTGATAGCCGGTTGAAATGTTTAACTGGTATCATTATTATCAAATGACATGCGAAGCTAAGACTACTCCTGTATATTCTAATAATCATTAAGTCAACAAAGAACTTAATCGTTAATATTTCTCGTATGACACGATGACCTTGCTTTTTTTGTTAATATGATACATTATTTTCAAACACGATATAATGTTCAATATCTCGAGAACCCGATACAGTATTGTACTGAACTCATCCACTACATTTGCAAATGCTCATTAAAACTTAAGCACGTCCACTACTTTCATTAAATTTTACTTTTTGTCTGATTGTTTTTTGCGATCATGTTTTCACATTATCTCAATATTTGTTTCACACTTTTTATCATGAAGACAGGACAGTAAGATTTTTGTTAGAGTTTTTGAATATCGAACTCCTGATATGTTGTTTAGTTTGCATCTGAAGTGGGCAATTCTGCCAGTTTACATAATGATTGATCATATTAAGCAATTACTGATCTAACATATTGTTTTCGTGTTTCACAACTAATAAATTATTATATTTAGTGCCTGTATTACATATAGCATGAACACAAATGGAACAGGAAACAATTGGATATGCTTGTCAGGTTATGTATTGATTAAGATAAACTGCAAAAGAAAGTATATACTTGAAAATTGCTAGTGACCCAGAACGTTACAAGGTGCAAATCACAACTATGATACCCCTATCAAATACACTACCATCGAACCATTTTGTATTTGTTTCATTTTTTATTTGTTTCATTTTGTTTCATTGTTTATCAAATAATGGGTGTATATTATATTTGGCTCGGCAGTTTATACTTGTGCGTCAAATTCATTATATTCGTTTGCATTATTTCCATATTTAAGATTTCACTACATTGGGAATCAAGTTTATATCATCTCAATATATAGAGTGGTTTATATTAAACTCATTACACAGAGTGATTAAAAAAACATCTATGAAAAAATTAAACAATACTAGCATTGTCCTCGCTGAGAGATACCTATTGATGTACCTATTTTATTTTACATCTCACACAAAGTGTTGAAGTGTATGTAAACGATGGGGCTATTCTATTCAAATTCAGTTATAGTCACGACAAAAGAACAAGTAGTCTAGATATCTACCCAGATAAAACTAAATACGCTATGATTCGAAGTTAAATGGATTCATTGGTGACGTGCAGTCAACTCTATTGGTTGGGTTATTCATAGGTATTTTACTTCAGCTATTGGCGACTACATACCTCATGTCTTTCTTCCATTACAGCATCAATGTTTCACTGTAATCATTGCAAATTACAATATAATTTAAATATAAGCTACAAAACCCTTTCCATATTCATAAGAATTTTCTGCTAAAAATACCGATAGTACAATTCCGACTATATCATGAGCATGTGTTTACGAATCAATATCATATAGTAATGATACCAGGTGTTCGCGAAAAGGTGAGCGTATCCTGCCCCACTGGTGACACAAACACATGCAAAGGCAAGTCACACATGCCAAGTTAGTCACGGACATATTTCTGATGCAACTGGGAAAAATGTTAAAATTAATTTACCAGAGATTAACTTGTTACTAATTGTCAACAGAAATCATTCATTGTAAATGTTCTTTATCACATCTTCGGTTAGAGACCGAGATAAATGATAAATGATATTTAGTAATTAAGTAATTAGGTTTAGTTTGGAATTCGTTTGACCTTTAATCATTGTGGATTCAAATATGTTATTTTACATGAATAAATAACGAAATAACCAGTCTTCGTTATTTCATAGTTATAATCAATTTGATTTAATTTGGGCAATGTTGCAACTACAATGCCAGTAGGCTGTAAATATGTGACATCCATAAGCCAGATTAACGCTATCCAACCAGGCAACTTATCTTTTGTAAATGTTTAATCAGTTCAATATTTATACAGCAAAGGTTATTTCTTTTGACAACAAATGTCCTTCTCTGAAAGTGTTTCTTGCACCAGTTTCAACTTGAACGAAAGTGTCGTTCTTGTTAAACTGACTCTCACAAACGCTAATCATGTTGATGGAAAACAGTTTGAAAAAATGTCATTCTTCATAGTCTTTCATTAAAAGTCTTCAGTCGACATAACGTTCTTTGAAAAGGAACAATAATTACATACACTGAATACATATGATTATTGATGCTAAATCACAATGCATGTAGTCACCATGACATCTCAATTGTGGTTTTTTTACGCAAACGTTAAATTGGTGAAACGATAAGTGTGTAAATTCCTCTTTTTATTTAAATATGTTGAGGTGGCACGGTAGGATGTTAAAGTGTGTGAGTAAATATTACTTTTAACAATAGTGCGGCTATTCACAGTTCACCGATGGCGTGATGCCCTGACAAACTTTATATTACATTATGCATATATGTAACTAGTTTCTTGAAGCTCGGAATAATGGAAATATACTTTTCAAATATGTAATAGTATACAAATATAAGAAATTTGAAGCTTGATAAAAAAAAACATGTATATAAAAAAGTATCAGTTTAAGAATAGGAGCCTAAAGAGCATAACATAATTACATTAACATTACATTCATGAGAAACCAAATGAAAATTGCCTTTAGTGTTAAAACATATATACATATACAAGCGGAACGATTATGCAGTTTCAAAAGCATAATCACACAAACACGACGTGCACGCAATGGTACGACGATGATAAATGGCACCAAAAAACAAAACATTTCAAGAATTTCACTTTTGGTCACGTCAGTTCCAACATTCACGTAAATTAAATATTATTTCATGTATCAATATACACGTTGCCTGACGAACATGAGACAGATACAACCTTTGGAAAATTCTTAACAATATTAACAAATGTCACTTTTTTTCTTGAGGCAATTGACACGCAGCGTAATGTTTAAAATGAATAAAAGCCGCATGAATGTGCTCTTTGACATCACGTATTTCATAACCTAACAACAGTAGACTATCAAGTGGAACCTATTTTTATCTCCAGTTGGGGGTGCGTAAGAGGGATTGGGGTTAACGAAGGGAGACGTGATATATCACAGAAGAAGGTACATGTCAGCAATTAATTTTCTCTGACATTTTACTGGCCTTCGAGTCTTGCTTCTTCGACGCTGTTTGATTTCCACATTGGTACAATCTGACTCCTGTGAATTGAACATTGAAGAGCCATTTGGCCCCAAGGAGATTAAAACGATTAAAAAACTCCTTGTTCTGTTGTAATGTTGATGAGATGAGACGTGTTTGCAGAGGTTTTAATTTCGCGTCCTTTGTTTGAAAAATCTTCTGACACTCTGATGGTGGACCCAGTGATATATGACCCTGTACAATTAATTATCTCGGCCTGCATTTCGCCAACCCCTCTTGGACTGTTGTGAATCTTTTATACAAGATACATGCTCTACTGACAGTTTATGAAACAAGATATCCACACGTTGAAAAACGACTCTTCTGATGTCAACGCGCGCTGAAAAAGATGGACAATTTGTATTGAGCATGTTAATCGAAATTATACAATGACCTGACGGATGTTGCCATCTTGAATTATGTTACATTTATGGCTATACATGACATTAAAGACTGTCTTTACAAGAGGACAAACAAAACTGCTATGTTGTACAACGAAACATATGGTAGTTATAAATGTTTTGTTGTAAATCTACAATTAATGTTAATGCAATCCCGTGAATCGAAACTTGAGAGGAAGTTTTTAATAAATGCCTGCGAAGACGCTATTACAATAAGTAGTCTTTGGTCAATAGAAATTAGAAGTTATTACCAGTAAGTGTTATTCTGTCGCAAGTCTTCTTGTAAGGTGTACAATTAACATCTTTATCGATTATCTTCATGTACTAATAGTTGTGGTTAAAACAGGACCGTACCTTGACGATTAGGGTATTGTGTACAATCAATTTGATGTTCGCTACTGGTTGTGGTTACATTATTGGAAACGAACTAAGCATACTGTACTCACTCACACATAATTGGTTGAAGCGCATATTATAGTCGCCAGATGGGTTATCATTATAATATACGCGGATCCATTTTGGAAGTATACGTAACATTTATGCATCCTTACGTTTTAGAGGTTGTCAGGTATATATACAGTAAGGATAAGATTTACAGTTAAGAGCTTAAGTTTTAAGTCCGGTTTTGCTCTTAACTGTAATAAAGTTGTTCATCCATAAATCTTATCCTCACTTAATAGTCCAACTTCTAAACGCCTATCAAAGAAGGTATATATAAAATAAATTGATAACAATACCACGAGCGTATGACTCATTTGGTGATATATTTTCAACATGCATGATTACTGAATAGCGAATTGCCGAATCAGAAACCGCAACTCTTCTTTCCGAAATATACTGTATCGTGCATTATTACTTATGCAGGGAAATGAAATAGCTTGAATATAGATGGACGTTACATACTTAGCGACGTCCGTGAATTATAACAGTTTATC